GGTCTGATGGAAAGGGATAGCATTGCGCGTGGAGTGGGCGCGGGCCAAGGCACGGAAAACGCGCTGGGAGGAGGAGGTAAATATCATTCGAGAGGAGATGCGCCGGATCCTCCGGTACTTGGAGTGGGAGACGGACGTTTGGGAGGGCAGGGCGAGGGTGCAGCGGGTGGACGTGCCGACGGAGACAGAGGACGGGCTCCGTGCGTACGCGTTGCGGCAGGCAGAGTTCCATCGGTCACTCCGGGGCTTCTTCTTCACCGAACTTAGCGTGCCTCTCAAGAACGCGGCGGCAGAGCTCTCGCTGGCGGAGGTCGATCTCCCGGCTCTATTCGAAGGTATGTATTTTGCGTGGTGGCGAATAGCTCGGCTGATGAAATACACAGACACGACGGAATAGATATACAACGGCACAGGCGTAGCTAAGTAGCGCAGTGTAGACGAGATTGTAGAGGCTTGAAAAATACGCGTTTTGTGGTGGATTATTGACGTATTGTGGGACGTGAGAAATAAACAAACGCACCATCACGTCGCTCGCTCTCTCTGAGTCTCTGTCTCTTCTGTACTTATCGCCTCGCTCGCTCGCTGTCTCTCTCTCTCCTCTCTTCTTCTCCCATGGAGCCGTAGCCCGCAAGTGCAAGGATACAAGCCCACCGGTCAGCGGGCAGCGTGGTTCCACCAGAATCTCGATCTCCCACCATCGCCTCGCTCGCTCTCTCTTCTCTTCAACTCTCATGGCGCCGCCCGCAAGTTCAAGGATACAGGACCACCGCTGGGCGGGCAGCTCGGTCCCTCCATGTGGGTCGAGTTCTCTCGACTCTCGACCGCATTGCTCTAACGTCTCACGATTAGCGTTGCGCCGTTGCGCGTCGAGCGCGTGCGTGCTGAGGCGCGGATGCCCCGCTGGGACGAGGAGCTGAAGATCATCAGGGAGGAGATGCTCAGCCGCGAGATGTTCGTAGAGCGGGAGACTGCCGTGCGGGAGTCGAGGGAGCGGCGGGGCAACGTCTAGGTAGACGGGCTCCGTATGCGGCTCAGCGTGCGTCTCAAGAACGCAACGGCGGAGCACGCAGCGGCGTTGCGCGCCGTGTTGGAGGTGAGTTTGTTTCATGGTTTTTATGCAAGCCGCTTATGATGGAGGACGCTGCCGTCCGAGTATCACAGATTACAGCGCAATACTTCGGACTGTACGTAGGACTACTACTGTTTGGCGCGAGGCCTGGTAAATAAATGGATGTACTATGCTTGAATTTTGTGCCTATGTGATCAGGGAAGGCCGCGCTTACAACGGCGGGCGACCTCGACTTGCAGAGTACGCGAGGGGCGCGGGAAACAAATGCCGAGAACAAATGCCGACTTACGCGAGAGACGCGATGATCAGTAAGAATACTGAGCTGCTTAATTGGGACGATGTGGCCGAATTCTTTGTTTTTGACGGGAAGAAACCCAATCGGGATTGCGGGAAGTGCACAAATAAATATTGGAAGGGAAGTTACTAAGCAGGGAGTGGCGGCAACGCCCGGGAGTGGGCTGCCCCCTACAGCAGAGAGTACTATTTGGGTGGAAAAAAAGGCTAGCCAGGCGGTGGCTAGCTCCAGGCATACAGCCAAAGGACGCGGTGGCTAGCTCCAGGGCTTTAGGCTAAATGGTACAGCGAGGATTGGGACGTGAATGACGAAGATAAGGGATCGCGGGACGACAACCGTACCCTGATGTCGAAGATTATCGGAGGCCAGCTCTGTATGTGCATTCGTCTTAACCCCGGCCATCGTACCTGCTCACGATCTCCTTCGCAGGGGATCACCTTCGCGATCGCGGCGCACTGGGAGACGGTGACACGGACCCCACCAAGTTCAAGATGAGGTGGGGTGCCAAGTTCTGCGACGTCGCCTTCGAAAACCAGTGTCGTGTCGTCGAATACCCAAGTGCTTTGGTCGACTACCACCAGATAATGGGCACCTCGCAATATGACGGGAAGAAGATCAAGGCGGAGACGTATAAGAAGTTCATGCCCGCGCTGATCCAGGCAAACCGGACCCGGGATTTCAGCGACGTGATGCACATTGAGCCGTGGTCGGATGGTATGTCCATTCGCGGTACCCGTCGACTTTGGTTTTAACAGATTTTCAGAGGACACGGATTTGCCACTGGATGAGCAGGGGGACGTGGCTCTGGTCATCAGTGAGGACGGCGAGATCCTGCGCCGCGTCAAGGACAGCACAACGTACCACAAGGCGGTGGTAGATGAGCAGGAGAAAGCGAAGAAGAAGGCGAAGAAGAAGGGCAAGGCGAAGAAGGCGGATGTGCGCTCTCCGTCTCCGGAGCCCCGCTCACCACCCCCAGGCTTACGGTACGCCGCGGAATCACAATACGCCCAAGACTTGGGCCACCGCCCGGCGGAATACCAAGACGAGATTTATGGTCGCGCGCCCCAACCTTCCCGCGAGCTGGCGAACGAACGCTACGGCTCTGCATATCGTCGGGCTGACGAACGTCAGCCATCTCCGCGTTACAACGCCCCGGAACAAGATTACTATGCCCCTCAGCCACCGCCGCGCCGCGACGACCGCGACCGCGCACATCCTCACGTGTCCACCTCCTCCCGGCCGTACGAGGCGCCTCACCGCGACCCACCGCCGCCGCCACCGCGCCGCGACGACCGCGCACATCCTCACGCGTCCACCTCCTCCCGGCCGTACGAGGCGCCTCACCGCGACCCGCCGCCGCCGCCGCCGCGCCGCGACGACCGCGCACAACAGCACGCGTCCACCTCCTCCCAGCCGATACCTCATATTGACTTCGAGCGTGCGGAGGCTCTGGCGGCACGCGTCGGTGGGGGTGGGGTTAAGAGGAAGAAGATTGACACAGCCAACACCGATGAGGAGGCGACTCGGGATCCGAAGCGCGCACGCGGAGAGCAGCCTGCTGCTATCAAAAAGAAGCCTATGCTGCCAGTACGATTTTACGGCAGGGACCAGACGGGAGCCGTCTGTTATGCGAATGAGCTGGTTTACGTCGAGCATCAGAGTCGGGCGGACAAGGCGGCACATCTGTGGGACACGGATGGAGCAAGGTATCGCCGGTTGCCTCCGAATACCTCACCACTCTTTGAGGACGAGTACGAAGAGGCGCGTTACAGGCGGGAGATCGACAAGTTCTCGCTGCATGACTTCCCCAAAGTTGCTTAAGATTGCCCTTCGTCGTTGTCTACATACATGCTTTCCTTACACTTGACCTTATGATTATGAGTGTGTCGTTGTCTACGTACATTTCCCTACACCTTATGATTATGATTATGCGTACTTATGTGCAATATGTATCATGTTTATGGTGCGACTAGCTAGGCTTGTATGATATATATAATAGTGCGGGAATACGAAGAGATTTCAACGTAGGGGCGTGGGTGGCACGGAAAGTAAAGGCCCCTTCCTGAAAGGTACGTGCTCCATTCTGTTCGTAGTCATTCTATTCGTAGTCAATTCCATTGGGAAATAAGAGGTGGCCAGGAGACGCCCAATTGGAAAACAATGCAACCGCGCGTGATGCTGGAGGAGTTGCCGTTTGCAGCGAATAATGAATACTGTGGGTGGCACAGTCCCCGTTTCCGGGTATTTAATCTGACTGAACTCTCGAAAGACACCAGTTCTCCCCCGTATACACCATGGCCCCCATTCGCACCTCCACTGCGACTTCTCGTTCATCCGTCGCTCCCCTTCGGCTGGAAGGCACGCCCGTCGCGGCGCTGAATCGTATGGCAGCCGAATCTCGCGCTGCAGAAAGACTGAAGGAGCGCTTCGACATCAACGCTGTCGAGCCCGCCATACCGAGGCGCGTGCACCTGTTCACGAAGGCCGAACTAGAAGACCATTCAAAACGCTGCGGCGGCCCTCCCGTGGGCACGCCCTGCCTGCATTGCCGCCGACCTATCCCTGCGTGGGGTTGCGGCGAGTACCATATCATTGGCGACTGCCTGGTCGCGGTGTCGGCCCACTGCAAGGCATGCTGGCAGTTCGCTTGGCAGAACAGCCGCCTGGACGCCCTCGATCTCCAAACGTCGCTAGCCACCAAGCCCAAGGTACGTCGGTGGGCTGCCCGCTAAATGGAATCCGCTAACCGCATTGTTTAGTGCATGTGCCCACCTGGATCCATGGCGTCTATGGAGTTGCCGACGGGCTGCGACCTGCACAACGGTGCGTAATCTTTGATTTCTTTTCCTCTGTTCGGTGCTTCATTGACATATTATCTAGTTCCCGCGATGACGCCAGGGCCACCAGGTGTGTTCAGCTACCTGCGGCCCATGAATCGCGAAGAAACGCGCGAGGTCCTGTCAAAACGACAGGATGCCTACGGCGAGCAGGTCGAGAAGTGCGTGGAGGGGTGGACCAGATACGCCGAGCGGTACAGGCTCGCGGGAGAGTGCCTTGACGAGCTGGCAAAGACTCGGGTGGCCGACTTCCGCATGCCCCCGCCTTCCCCGCCGCCTTCCCCGCCGCCTTCGCCCAGGCGTTGCCCTCCTCCTCCTCCTGCGTTCGTCGGGCTGCGAGCGCCGCACCCTTATGTCCGCCCTTCCCGGACCTACGCGCGCCAACTCCCCGCCGACTTCGACTACGCGGCTGCGAGGCGCCAGCGCGAAAAAGCGCCCGCTAAAATCGAGGACCCTGTGTCCGACGCTTTCCATAGCTACCTGCACTAAAGTACCTTAATTAAGTTTTGCTTGGCCCACTGCGCTTTCCAGTCGTATATAAATCATGTACCTCGAATCTTTTGACGACGAACTCTTATGATAATTTATTTTTTCTTAACTACAACGACATCTTCATTGAACTTTTGATTATATTTTGGAATGCAGACATACTGGGTATAGTGTGTAGTTGACTTGACTGCGTACTTGAGAGAAGTACCTTAATTTTTGTTGACTTCAACGACGGCTTCATTGAACTTATTATAGAATGCGGACATACTGTTCTAGTGTACTATGAACTCAGCACCGAAAACTACACATAAGCTGAGTGGTGCAGTGGTAACACGTCTGCATACCGTATCAGGCGTAGAACGAGGTTACGCAGAAAAGGTGGGTTCGACTCCCACCTCAGCTGTGCCTGATGATCTTTAGCTTTTTTTTCTTTTAGCTTCCCTTCGTGTACCATGACTAGCTTCAACGACTTACTTTTCTTTCGTTTCGCAGGCTTTATTTGGTTCCTTGCTAGACTTGAGTTGGTAGCTACATTTAATATGATATAAGTCGTGATAAGATAATGATATACGTGATAAGATAAGGATATACCTAATGCGGCTGCGAGGAGTAGTGGTCCCAAAAGAGGCGACCGGTGGGATGTCCCACCATGGTAATAAAGAGGTGGGACGTCCCACCGCAAGAAGAAAGATGGCGGGATGTCCCACCGCAGCAGGAAAATAGGTGGGACGTCCCACCGCGGCAAGAAAAGGAGTGGGATGTCCCACCGCAGCAGGAAAATAGGTGGGATGTCCCACCGCGGCAAGAAAAGGAGTGGGACGTCCCACTGTAGCAAGAAAAAGGGTGGGATGTCCCACCGCAGCAGGAAAATAGGTGGGACGTCCCACCGCGGCAAGAAAAGGAGTGGGACGTCCCACTGCAGCAAGAAAAATGGTGGGATGTCCCACCGCAGCAAGAAAAATGGTGGGATGTCCCGCCTCAGCAAGAAAATAGGTGGGATGTCCCACCGCAGCAAGAAAAGGGGTGGGACGTCCCATCGTAGCAAGAAAATAGGTGGGATGTCCCACCGCAGCAAGAAAAGGGGTGGGACGTCCCATCGTAGCAAGAAAAATGGTGGGATGTCCCACAGGCACATGAAAAGACGTGGGATGTCCCACAAAGTGTAGAAAAGGGGTCGGATGTGCCACCATCCAGGGGAAAAAATGGTGTGCAGAAGGAAAAAAGAGGGGACATTACCGAACTACCGTAATAGATGATTGACAAGACCTTCTTGATGACGGAATGTAAAAGTCGGTATGATGATTGTATAAAGATAGAAGATGATAAAATACTTTTTATGCAAGACGGTAAAATATGTTGAGGAGAAGTGGAAAGACAAAAACAGGATATTGAACAACAAAATTGATTCACTGAGATACTAACTAAGGAAATGTGGTAGGTAGGATTATTGTTCCACGTCTATGTGAGGCAGCCCTGCAGACAGCAGAGGAAATACACATCAGCCAAAAAATTGAACCTTCATCCATTTTCCAGTCAGTGATTAATCCAGCAATTGGGAGGACAAGAAATGGGGGACCTGCACATCTCTTGTATGCAAGTGAGGCTGCAGCCACATAACGGTAAGATAAGAGCCAGGAGCCACCAAATCGGGCTGGAACCAGGCACAAAAAATATTGTTGCGCTGCCTGGGACAGCAGCGGAAATATACTGGCTGTGCACGTCTTATGTATGTGATGCAGGCTGTAAGCAAGAGGAGTAGTAAGGGCCCTGGAGGAAGCCAACCGGGCCAGAACCCAGCCCCAAATCCATTTTTTCGCCGCCTGCGGCAGCAGGGCAAATGTGCGCGGTGCACACAGTATATGCCTGCTAGGCAGGCTGCAGGTAAGGCTAGCCGGAATCAGCCAGCAGCAAGCAAATCGGGCCAGAACCGGGCCCAAAATCCACTTTTTCGGAGCGGGCGGTATCTGGGGTCCTGGCGCCAAAATGGTCCAATGGGACGTCCCAGGCAATTTTTTTGGGCCCGCCCTCGGCAGGCGGTCTGTCCCACAAGAATCAGGTGGGACACCCCACCATGTATTGAGGGATGTCCCATATCAAATGGGCCACCCATCTCAGGAAGACCCCCCTTGGGTCAATTCTCTCCCATGAAAAATTAGACCCAAGGGGGGTCTATATTGGGTAGCCTGAGGTGGGCATGCATTGTTGCTTTCTCATGGGCGGGCCCGTCCCCAAGTTCGGCGGTGAGCTCAGGACAATCTAGTAAGTTATCGCTACCACTTGGTCGGGATCCCGTACTGACTGATGTTTTGTAGCGCGTCGTACGGGCGAAACAGGATGGCCGGGGGCGGGCGCACTTTCCCGAGTGGGCAGGGCCGCGCTTCAACTTGGTTACAGACCTTATGAAGGAGTACCTCAGCACCGCGTTCAGTGAGTAAAGTATTGCTACATATTTAATTTATGCTAATATCCGTCCAGGTGCACAGGACAAAGCGGAGGCAGCGCTCCCGGACGTTCTGACAGCCGCGAAATACACCCTCCTCCCTGAAAAAGACGAGAGCGGATCTGATTCATCGAGCTCGGAGGAATCAGACTTAGATTCTAACGTGGACTCTGACGACACAGATGCGCCGCTGAAAAAGCGAAAGCGCGTGTCGAAAGGGAAGCAGAAAGCTGGGGAAAAGTCGAGAAAAGGAGCCCTGGACTCGGACGACGAGACGCAGGACGACAATAACCAGGAGGACGGGGAGGAGCAACGCGAGCGTACACCGGAATGGAAACTCGGGGACCCTGAGTCGGCGTTTGTGCCGAGTCAGGCGGAGCGTAACCTGTACGGAGGCGGGGCGCACGGGAGGAACCAGGCCATGGTTGCCAGACGGAACGCCCTTATGCTGGAACCGCTGAGGAAGGAGTGGAGGGAGGTGCTGGGGCCGCAGCAAGGTTCGAAGAAGGCGGTGACGCCGAAGCCGCAGGTGAAGCGCAAGGCCAAGGAGGACGCACCAGTCCTGGCGAGGAAATCTCGTCGGCTGAACGGGAACGAGGGGAAGTCGTGGACAATGGAGCCCCCTGCGAATCCCTCGACGTCGACGACAATCGAGCCCCCTGCGAATCCCTCGGCGTCGAGCGACTCGTTAGAGGCGCGTCCGCCGCTGGCAACGTCCACCGCCGCTTCCACTTCGGGTCCGACCGCGCCTGGCGTCACATCGACCGACTCGTTAGAGGCGCGCCCGCCGGCAACGTCCACCGCCGCTTCCTCTTCTTCCACTTTGACGGGTCCGACTGCGCCTCTGCCTCCCCCGCCTGGCGCCATTGCAACATCGACCGATTCGTTGGAGGCGCGCCCGGCGGCAACGTCCACCGCTGCTTCCTCTTCTTCGACTTCGACAGGTCCAACTGCGCCCAGCGCCGCGCCTCCGCCTCCCCCGCCCCCGCCTCCGCCTCCGCCTCCCAGGGGCGCATCTGTGTCTCAAACTTCCCTGCCCCCGCCTCCACCCTCCCCGTCTGCGTCTCCTGCTCTCTCGACGGCGGCAGGGGCCGGGCCGATCCAGCTTGATCTGCCTGAGGACACGCCGGAGTGGCTGAGGAGCGCGTTGACGTATCTGACCGTCCGCGACCTGGGGTGTCACTACGTCTCACTGCTGAAGGCGTTGGTGAGGCTGGAGGAGTCGGCGGGCTTCGACAACGAGAAGTCGACGCCACTACCCACGGCGAAGAAGACGCGACCGAAGGAAATTGGCTTGTGGATCAAGGGGGGGCGCGGGGTAAAGATGGCGAAGTTGCCCGAGGTGCGCGACGTGCGCGCGTACCAGAAGCGATGGTACTCCTGGTGGGACGAGCTTCAGCCAGGGTGGAGGGAGCGCGGCGCAGACGGAGAGTGGATCACTGGGGGAGAGTATGGCCAGCTGGGGGCATCTCGACTGTTCGGGCGTCAACGGGACAATCAGTATTGTCGCAGCGCTGTATTTTTGGGGCACAGCGAGGACGCACACGGAGGAAACACTTGCGGCGTGGAATACCGCGGTACAGGACGTCACTTGGATGCTGGAAGGGGTGGACACTTTGTTTGAGTAGCACACGGACTTCGAGATTCAGGTTTTGAATGACTTCGACATACGTTTTGAGTAGATTTTGGTTTCTGATGACTTGTACATATGTCTCAACTATTACTTATTGATTTGCCTTGTGAAATGAAACACAACATTCCTGGTGCAAACACGAGACGAGAAGTTTATTCAGAGAGCTGTGTGAACTTAGTGAGGAAGTCGAGATTTCGTCTTTGATTTTTCTTGTAACAAAATATTTACAAGTCGAAGGTGCGGAACAGAGACAAGTAAGATAAATTGAGGAACGAATCGAGGAACGACTATATTACATCGAGGTATTGGGAAGCAAAAATGAAGACCCGCGAGTGCGGCGGGGATATTTATTCTTGAGGTGGGGAAGCCGCCGATGCCGGGGAGAAAGTGATGCCGGGCATATGCCGAGGGAGGGAGGCGGCAGCGGTAGGATGTCGGGAGCGGGCGGGGTCAGGCGAGAGTGGTGAGATCTATGAGGGAGGCAGAGGGGACGATGCCGGGAGGGAGCTGGGGGGCGGGAAGGGAGCGGGAGGCGAGGGCGGGAAGGGCGCTGATGCGATTGGGTGGTACGTAATGGACGGGGTGGGAATAAGCGCGATGGTCCCGGTCCTCCACGCAGTGCGGAGGAGACCGGGGGGCTAACGCAAGCGCGCCTACTGGAGCAGAGATCGCTAAAGAAAAGGTGCCCATCAGTAATCAGAAAAAAAAGGAAAAAATAGGGCATTTTCTTTTTTGCGGGGAGGGAGCCAAAAGGGCCAGGAAACCGGGTTTCGGGCCGCCCAAAATCAAAAAATCGCCCCCCCGAAAAGGGTGCGTACAGGTGTGGATACAGCCAGGTGGGTGGCTAGCTCCAGAGCTATAGTTACAGGGGGGGGGGGGTGGCTGCACCCATGCAATTTAGTCTATATATTACAGCTACGGCTCGGACGAGGAGGAGCGTATCGCTCGCCACACAGCCAAGGACAAGGGCAAGGAAGTACCGCAGGCCATCAGGCCACGCACCGACAAGCTCAGTATCTGGCAATTTCTTTCCATCACGGACATCCTTTAAGCCATGAACCTGATCGATTGGCTCGACCAGGGCGAGGAATCCGCATACGAGAAGTTCAAGTTCATCGCGCAGAACGCTTCTGTATTGCCAGCAGAATACAGGGCAGAAGGAGAAGCCTATGTCCTGTCGCAACAGCAGCGCATCGAGGCTAATTGGTGGACCACGACGTGCGGTGGCCCGCGCTCCAACTGCGCTGAGCGCATCGCCATCGCGCGAAATGGCGGCTCGAGCAGCAGCCATGCACCCGCTCCAGGAGTATCCATGGGCCGCACGCCAAAC